TGGCCCACGTAAGCAGAAGCGTGCTTCCGGGAGACCATACATCGTTATCTGCGAGGCCATCGATGATTCGACCAAAAGTCTGCGAAGCCCAATGCTCGAGTCCCTTGCGGCCTAGATTCAGCAGCACCATGAAAAGAAGACGCACTTTCATCGGGGCATTGTCACTTGGCCAGATGAACCGCTTGAAGGTACGAAACGAGTCCGTCCATCGTCCCAGATCGAATCTGATTCTGTGGATATTCTCGAAATTGACTTTGCCGGGCATAGTGCTCTGGGGTTTGCTCTGAGCTGGAGGTGTCTGACTGCTGCCTTTTCCGGGCCGAATGGAATAGTGAAGAATGGCGTAGAGAACGAGCATCCAGGAAGCTAGAAACAGACTCAGGCATGATGAAGCGCTGAATTCTCGTGCCATAACGAGCTGCGCAATGTCGATACATTCTCTGACCAACCCTAAGTACCAAGCCCATCGATAGGGTGCCCAGAGACGGGTAGAGTCGTCGTAGAGCCTGTCTACCTGGAAAACCCCTGAGGCCGCGAAGAGAACAGCGCACCAGACAGGAACACTGTCGGTATCTCGTCTCATGATAGATAAAGCCAACAACTGCAACATGTTTATCCATGTTATCGCCAGTTGCGCGCAGGAGGTCCGAAGAAAGAGTGCCGAAGGCGAGATACGGTGCTCCGGTGTTAAGGGCGCTATCAGTGAGAGTACAGCAGCCAGGAGTGAGGATGAAAGCCGCGCATGGTTGAGCATGATATGAGACATTGTTGTGATGGTGTGAGCAGGTAGGAAGGAGGGTATAGACCGAGTAAGGGGGATTGCTCTGAGTGAAGTAGCAGTATCTGGGTATGCGGACTTCAGTTGGGTAGCCAAGGATAAGCATGAGCGCCTCGAACTGTGAGCCTGATTCGCGTCCGAGGCATCGAAGCGTGTCTAGTCCGACATGCAAAGTTCTATGCTTGCCATACACAATACTCCTGGCTACCGTGACGAATGAAGAGTGGGCAAATGCAACTATTGACGGGTGCTGCAACGTGCCAACGCCTGGTGATCGGCGTGGTATCAGCGGCGAAAGTTTTCGTTGGCAGGTGCTCTGAGAATGGCCTTGGGTTTGCCGTGGGTCACGAGTGAGCTCTAGGTGGTGTTCTGCGGCGTACGTAGACCCCGGACTGAAAGCATGTACGTATATCGAGTGTGTTGTGTGGCGCATCGAGACTCGGCTGCGTAGTCCAGGGGAAAGGGGTGACGATACTCGGCATTCCAAAGCCACCGGCCCAGCTCCATCTCAATTCTTGTCATGCAAACGTCCCCGTACTCCATCGGACAGGTCTTTGCTTCCGTTCAGGCGGTTGGGCTACTCCATCGACCTGATCAACTGTTCGTGTTTCGACGAAGCCTTTGGTGGTTCGGCTGCGCTTTCGTGGAAAAATTCGTTTCTGGTACTTTTAGTTAGGTTATTGGTGGGCTCCTATATGCGCATCTCAGACACAACGCGTTGGATTGGTTGGTATGTCAGACGATGGCCACGGCTGGACGCCATCGTAGATTTTTGCTTTGCGCCAGGCTGAGCTTCCTGTATCAACAGTAGACGACTACCTTCTCACTTAACGCTTGGGGGAGGCAAGAGGGCGGGGCCGGTTTCTTGGATCCTCCCTTCGTGTAGAGGCTGCCATGGCGGATACGGTCTAAGAAGGACCTTTCCAGGAGACGCTTCATATTCCGGACGTACAGGTGTTCCTCGGATGCCCCGCGATTGGACAAAATAAGCCATGGTTAACACCGGACACGACCCGAAAAGATGCCGCCAATTTCTCCTTCAAAGGAGGTTATCCTTGTCCTTGTCGTCCGTCGGCGAAGGGCAAGGCTCCAACGGCCGGCCTACAGACCCTGGCACGTTGCGACAAATCCGATGCGGCTCGTCTGCAGCCCACCCAATGAGGAACGTAGCATGCACACTGGCGCAATTCCAACAGTCACCAGGAATACGCTGATCAGATGAAGAGGGGTGGGTGTGCGGGAAGAGGGGGCGTCAGAGGAGACCACTCGCAGTGACGAAAAAGTACTTGACAGGGATCGCGGTTATGGACCCGGAAGCAGGGGGGCAAAGTCAGAGGCAGCAGGCCAAGGGGAGTCGGGGGCGTGAGGTACCCAGCGGAGCACTTACGCTATGTTGCAGTGTTAGCCGAGAGATGTATTGTCTACAAGACCAGCGAGTCACAGCCTGCAGCCCTGTGGGGATTATCCTCTAAGAAGGCGGAAAGCTCAAGGCCTGTTCCAGCCGCGTATCCAGCCGCATATCCAGTAGTGTAGTATGGCGGGGAAGATCTCCGTGTCAGTTATCGAAAATCCGGTCTCTGCAGATCGTCCGAGACGGACTTCACCTTAGTAGCACGCCTGCCTCAGCTATTGATTCGTCTCGAACGAGCTAGCACGGCGTCACACAGCAATGTTGGTATCTCTGCGAAGTATGTGGTTGCCGTCTCCAAGAGACAAATTTGCAAAGCGAGGCCGGCTACGACTTCGGTGAGCTGAGCATGCTGCTAGGACCTGTCCGACCAAGGGGTGACGCGAGGAATCTCTACATGGCTTCCAGATGGACTGTCCCTGGCGGAATACAACCTTGACGGGCGGCCTGAGAACGAGCCCAATTGGTGCTGCTGATTAAATGCTGGCGACCCGGCTTGAAGTCAAAGACTGCATGCCCATGCTTTTTAACGCCCTACGGAACATCGCAGCAGCACCGCGACGCCAAGCTCAGAGCCTAGAACCATTCTCGGCTTGCACTGGTCCCTGCTCCCACTCAAAGTGAAGTCGACGGCCATCGTCACCCACGGCGTCTTTGACGACTCATCTGCCTTCGGACGCCTCTCGTGTCAGGCCGCGATCACTATAGGTATCTCCTAGCCCTACACCCACGACGCTCGCGCTTCCGTCACTCTCAACTTGAGCGTTACCGCTCCGGCTGATACCTCAACTCTCAGTTGGGAAGTGCACAAAGACGAACCGATATCATGGAGGCATATTCGAGAGGCGATAAGACGGCAGATCTTCCTAGTATCTTGGAACGATCAAGCCTAGAACGCTCAGGGAGATTCGTCCCTAGCATTAGTTCTTTTCCTGTCGCCACTTCCGGCTTTGGAGACGTGCTGAACGCGCCGCGGCCCTTACCACCATCACAGCTCCCCTTTGACAATCTTCACACGTATCGTCAGGGGCCCGGACAACCACAACCCTACTGCGATTCATACAGCCTGAGGGAGTACAGTTATCGTGACAGCTCAGGAGGTTCGCATTACAGATCACCAAACACGGAGCCCGCTCATAGGAATGATGAGGGTTATCTCAGCACAGGTTCGTCTTCAGCTTCGGATTCCACAAGGTTCGAGTCCCTAACTTTCCTCTGTTGTTTCATTTGGTTCCAAGAAAAGGTGAAGCTCTTAGAATATCGAGAGCGGTGCCCATCTGACAATTCTGCTTTCATAGGCCTAACTACCACCTGCCCAGCATCTCAGCCGAGTTTGGTCTGCACCATAACCAGTTCCAGCTGCATTCTAGCGCCGACGCCTTCTTTGATATGAAGAATAAGCTTGCGCTTGTGAAAAGATTCGATACGAAGGGGCCCGGTCCACACCTCGATGCGTCAAGCACATCGTCAACTAGCGACGCCTTCTCGAGGCTGTCCGGTGACTTTCGCGTCCCGCAAGTTTCCGTGCCCACCAGTCTGCCGTTGCACCACAAAAAGTCGAACCTCCTAGACATGCAGACTCCCAGCTCTGCCCTCTCAAAGCCAGCCATCCCATCTTGGTCGGGAATATCACTCGCCGCCAGCTCAAGGAGGAACAACAGCGACGATGCCTTACCGCACAACCACGAGGCGTATAAGATGGAGATGAAGGAGAACAACCCTACGAAGAGATTGCGAATAGAAGAACCCATAAGGGCGCACTACGACGGTACTAGGGCGAAGCGTCGTACATCTACGAATCCCGGTAACACCGTATCGCTTGCTGTCACACTTCCAAGTGACTCGCTACATCGCCACGACAGAAGCCAAAGAGAATCACCTACGCCTCAACTAAGCGTCATTCCTCAAGAATCGGCATTTTCAGTGTCGTACTGTTCCACGGCGTCTCACAGCTGGGATTCACACCTGCATACGAGGAGCATTGCCCGCATAGGTTTGTCATATGGCCAAATTTCTCCAGGCGAACCGTCTCCGGGAGCCATTCCGTCCGGCAGAAATGATGCCATATGCATCTCTCCTCATGATGCAATGATGTCGTTGAACGCTTCGCCTCGCGGTTCCATTCCCAGAGTAACCTACCAGCGGACTACTAGCGATGACGGGCCTCCAGCTTCTCTGCACAAGCCCACAGAAGCGAGCAAGCCTGATGAGCACAAGATCTTGAGGGGATTCTTATGCGACTGTTGCCCGAAGAAACCCAAGAAATTCGCTTCGGCCGCGGAATTAGCGTCAGTAACAAGCTTTCAGACATTGCGAGATCATTTGATCATGAGCTGATTATGTGCAGGTCTCATGAAGCCGAAAAGCAGTATGACTGTTCGTTCTGCGGAAATCGATTCAAGAACAAGAACGAGGCCGAACGCCATCAAAAGAGTCTTCATGTTCAGGACAAAAGTTGGAGTTGCTCGGCTCTGGATGGCTATTATCAAGCTTTCCACAATAGCACGGATCGCCCCGGTGAAGCAGACTCTTGTGGTTACTGCGGTGAGGAGTTCCTCAAAATTGGGAGAGGTTCAGGGGATCCCGCCTCGCATCGCGGCACTGAGCAGGACTGGGATGAGCGTCTCCGCCATCTTCAAGAGATCCACAAGTTCCAAGAGTGCAACAGGAGCAAGAAATTCTTCCGCGCGGACCATTTCCGTCAGCACCTTAAACACAGCCACGCAGGCACAAGCGGTAAATGGACACATATGCTAGAGAACGCCTGCATGCTGAATGAGGATCCAACTCCGAGATGAGCCTTCATTTTCCGGGCGTGACTTTTCAACAAGGATTAGCTAGAAGCCATCATTACATTTACACGGTCATACACCGGATACAAAACCTCGGAACACAGAACCGCAACTTGGAGTCGACGCACCCAGCTCATACGTCTGCCCATGGCCAGAGCTTTTTTTTTTTTTTTGCATGAGATTTGATTGCATGAGATAGCAGAAACCTCTCGCTTCAAAGCTAAGCTACAATTTTTCTTGTCAGCTTATAGGCAATACAAGTTTCAAGAGCGTTCTGTTGAGGCATGCGGGCGGCATTCACAAGTTTAATGTGCTGGCCGATTGGAGGCATCCATGTCTAAGACACCGATTGGTCTCCGTTGGGGGCTTTTACTATGAGTTTAACACAATGCAAAGACAATCACCGAAGGAATTGACATCACAGCCGGGTGCGAACGGCTGCCATAAAAGACAAAGCCTGGTCAAAAGACCTTCACTCGCTCGTCTGCGCCCTGCATGCACGAACTCCCGTTGAATCAGGGCAGCGGGCGATTATTGGTGGAATTGACAGCAGAAAAGGTGTTCGGGCCGCGGCAAACGATCTCCTGCCTAGGTACTTACACCCAACAGAGGAGTCTCGGCCTCTGCCCACCTTCCACCTATACACACACGCTGATCAATATACCAATCATGGAGCTTCGTACCGATTGAAAGGCCTGCTCTACTGAAGTGTACACCAAAAACCACCTCTCATGTGCGCATATAATGGTGACTTCACCATTTCTCAAGTTCGGGCGCGCAGACCATCCATCCCGTAGCGAACTCCTGTAATTATGTCCTTGAGCACGACACCAAGCCGCTAATCTTGATTCTGTTGCACAAAGAAGTCAATATTGACTCCCTCTACGTTCGGACTAGTCATCGTGGCTCCAAGGGGTTGGGGGTGTTCCGCTGTTAGCGATTTGTGACGGATATCTCTGGTCAGGTCACAGTGGTCCGAATCTTGGTAGAAGACGTCATCGAGAGCGGCACATGATGACAAGTGCAGGGAGTCCTTTCGCTCATCTGTAACAGTCGTGCTAGAGAGGTCTTACTTAATACCCAAGGAAAAGCTTCTTTTCAAGTGGCTAGCCCGCGATCTAGCGGAGCCGTCGTAAGCTGTTGGCCGGTCGTCCTCCAGATTGATGTCGCTGCTCGGTGTCTTGTCGGTCTTGACCCTCCGGGGTTCCAATAAGCCACCACCTCTTTGCGGTCGAATCATCGAAGAAAACATCATCAGTCTTCCTCTAGCTTCGATTTGTATACTTCCGGTGGACCTCGGTGAGAAACTGATCCATTCTCTCAAGATACGTGACGTACTTGGAGGCCATGCCAAAGTAAGGCGCAGCCTTGGTCAATGCTTGGAGAGCGATGCTGGAGATTCTCGTCAGCGCCCTCTCAGATGTGGCCCCCGAGTCCTGTTCCTCGATTTCCTGCTTGCCGACCATATGACTCTGAGTATCCATGTGAGGATAGTGCCATGCGTAAGTTCTCACAAAGGCTGCTGGCCTGTTTCGATATAGTCACAGAACTCGTATACTGCGGTTTCGTTGCTTGCCCACTCGATGATAGGCCTCAGCAGGTACCAGGCGAAGTCGGCATTGTCCTCAAGAGTCTCCAAGCCGAAGTCT